CAGTTATTGATAATTGCCATTCTGACTGGAGTTAGGTGGTATCTCAGTGTGGTTTTGATTTGCAACTCCCTGATGATTAGTGAGGTTGAACATTTCTTCATGTGTTTGTTGGCTGCTCGAGTGTCTTCCTTTGAGAAGTGTCTGTTCATATCTTTTGCCCATTTGATAATGGGGTTGTTTGTTTTTTTCTTTTCAGCACGTTTGAGTTCCTTGTAGATCCAAGATGTTAAACCTTTGTCATACCTGGAGTTGGCAAATACTTTTTCCTAGTCTGTAGGCTGTCTCCCTGCTCTCTTGATGGTTTCTTTGGCTTTGCAGAAGCTTGTCAGTTCAATGAGGTCCCACTTGTCTATCTTCTCTCTTGTGGCCTGTGGGTTTTGGGTTTTTTTCAGGAATTGGATGCCAGTTCCAATTTCCATGAGGGTATGTCCTTCATTTTCTAAGGTTCTTATGGTTTGAGGTTTTACATTTAGGTCTCTGATCCATTTAGAGTTAATTTTTGTGTATGGGGATACCTAGGGGTCCTGTTTCAATCTTCTGCATGAGGTCAGCTAGTTTTCCCAGCACCATTTACTGAACAGGTTCCCCTCTCCCCAGTGGTAGGTGGTGGAGGCTTTGTTGAAGATGAGTTGGTTGAGAAATTGAGTTTTGCTTCTGCAATCTCAATTCTATTCCATTGTTCTATATGCCTGTTCCTGTACCAATACCAAGCTGTTTTGATTATTGTAGCTTTATAGTAAAGTTTGAAGTCTGGTAATGTGATACCACCTGCTTTGTTTTTTTTTGCTGAGGATTGTTCTGGCTATTCTTGGTTGTTTGTGTTTCCATATAAATTCCTGTGTTGTTTTTTCTAGGTCTGAGAAGAATGTTGCTGGTAATTTTATGGGTATTGCATTAAATCTGTAGATTGCCTTAGGTAGGATGGACATCTTCACAATGTTGATTCTTCCAGTCCACTAGCATGGGATCTTTTTCCACTTGTTTATGTCCTCTTTGATTTCTTTGAGAAGTGTTTTGTAGTTTTCATTGTAAATATCTTTCACATTTCTGGTTAGGAAGATGCCAAGGTATTCCATTTTCTTTTGTGGCTTTTGTGAATGGAATTGTGCTTTTTATTTGGGTTTCTTTTTTTTTATTATTGGTGTAAAGAAATGCGATTGTCTTTTGCACATTTATTTTATATCCTGAGACTTTGCCAAAGTCCTTTATCAGTGTAAGGAGGTTTTTGACAGATTCTCTTGGGTTTTCAAGGTATACAATCATGTCATCTACAAAGAGAGATAACTTGACTTCCTCTTTTCCTATTTGAATACCCTTGATTGTCTTCTCTTCTCTGATTGCTCTAGCCAGGACTTCCAATACTATATTGAACAGGAGGGGTGAGAGTGGGCATCCTTGTCTTGTTCCAGTTTTCAGGAGAAATGGTTCCAATTTTTGTCCATTTAGAAGTATGCTGGCTGTGGCTTTCTCATAGATGGCTTTTACTATTCTGAGGTACATTCCATGTATGCCTAGATGTTTGAGGGTTTTTATCAAGAAGGGGTGCTGGATTTTATCAAAAGCTTTTTCTGCATCTAATGATATAATCATGTGGTTTTTGTTTTGATATCTGTTGATGTATTTAATTACATTTATGGATTTATGAATGTTGAACCAGACTTGCATCCCAGGAATGAAGCCTACTTGGTCATGGTGGATGAATTTTGAGATGTATTGCTGAATCCGGTTTGCTAGGATCTTGTTGAGAATTTTAGCATCTATGTTCATCAAAGACATTGGCCTGTAGTTCTCTTTCTTTGTTGGATCTTTACCTGGCTTGGGTATCAATGTGATGTTGGCTTCGTAAAATGATTTGGGGAGAGTTCCATCTTTTTCAATCACCTGGAATACCTTCAGTAGGATTGGTATCAGCTCCTCCTTAAATGTCTTGTAGAATTCTGCTGGAAAGCCATCTGGACCAGGGCTTTTTTTTGTAGGAAGTTTTCTTATTACGTAGTCGATTTTCTTGATTGTTATTGGTCTATTTAGGGTCTCGATTTCTTCTTGTTCCAACCTAGGTAGGTTGTGTGCTGTCAGAAAGTCCTCCATTTCCTTAAGGTTTTCAAGTTTGTTTCCTTACAAGTGTGCATAGTAGTCTCATGATCTTTTGTATTTCTTCAGGGTCAGATGTGACTTCATCTTTTGTGTTTCTGATTGTGCTTATTTGGTTTTTTTCTCGTTTTTTTTTTTTTTTTTTTTTTTTTTTGGTCGGTCTAGCTAGGGGACCATTGATCTTGTTTATCCTTTCGAAGAACCAACTTTTTGTTTCATTGATTTTTTTGTATTATCTTTTTGTCTTCTATGTCCTGGATTTGGGCTTTTATTTTGGTGATCTGGATTCTTCTGCTGAAATTAAGGTTTTTGTGGTCTTGCTTTTCCAGCTTCTTTGGGTGGCTTGTTAGGTTGGGAATTTCTGTTCCTTCCATTTTCTTCATGTGTGTTTGTAGGGATATAAATTCCCCTCTTACTACAGCTTTCAGGGCATCCCAGAGATTTTGGTAAGATGTTTCTCCATTTTCATTTGTTTCCCGGTATCTTTTGATCTCTGTTTTTATTTCATCATTGACCCAGGAATTGTTTAGCATCATGCTGTTTACTGTCCATGTCTTTGTGGGTTTTGGGGGGACTTTGTTGGTGTCAATGTTTATTTTTATTCCACTTTGGTCCGAGAAGGTACATGTTAGAATTTCGGTCCTTTTAAATTTGCTTATGCTTGATTTATGGTCGAGTATGTGGTCAATCTTAAAATATGTTCCATGTGGTGATGAGTAGAATGTGTATTCTGTGGTCTTTGGATGGAGTGTTCTGTAGGTTCAATTAAGTCCATTTGGTCCAAAGTGACATTGAGGTTCTGGATCTCCTTGCTGATTTTTTGTCCTGATGATCTGTCTAGGGTTGTGAGTGGGGTATTAAAGTCCCCAGTTATGACGGTGTTCTTTAGTTTTCCTAGAAGTTACTTTATGAAAGTTGGTGCACCTATGTTGGGTGCATATATGTTTAGGATAGATATTTCTTGTTGATGGATTGAGCCTTTTATCATTATGTAGTGGCCTTCTGTATCTTTTTTGATTTTTAATAGCTTGAAGGGTATTTTGTCTGAAATTAAGATCGCTACTCCTCCTTTCTTTTGTATTCTGTTCGCCTGAAAGTTTGTTTCCCATCCTCTTACTTTGAGTCTGTTGGTGTCCTTTCTAGTGAGGTGAGTCTCTTGAAGGCAATAGATTGTTGCCTGATGATATTTTATCCATTTAGCCATTCTATGTCTTTTCAGTGGTGCATTTAGTCCATTCACATTTAGGCTAATAATTGAAATGCAAGAGTTGATCCCTGTCATAAGGTTCTTACAGAGTTGTTCCTGTTTGTTTGTTGTCTTTCTTTGGGTTTTGGAGTTGGTTCATGTGTGTTTTTAATCTTTTGCCTGTACTCTTGTGAAGAATGTTGTTGTTCTTTTTTCTTTTTCTTCTGTCTTCAGTACTTTCTTAAGTGTTTCTTGTAGAGGTGGTCTGGTGGCAGCGTAGGTTCTTAGGGATTGAATATCTGGAGAAGATTTCAATTCTCCCTCACTAATGAAGCTTAGTTTGGCTGGGTAGGTTATTCTTGGTTGAAATTGTTTCTCTTTTAGAACTTTGAAGATAGGGCTCCAGGCTCTCCTAGCCTGAAGGGTTTCTGTGGATAAATCTGCTGCTATTCTACTTGGTTTTCCCTGGTAGGTAGTCTGGCCTTTTTCTCTTGCTGCCTTTACGATTTTTTCTTTTATAGCTACTTTGTTTAGGCGAATTATTATGTGTCTGGGAGTTGGTCTTCTCATTTGTTGTCTTGCAGGGGTTCTCTGAATCTCTTGTGTTTGAATTTTTTCATCCTTTATGAGATGAGGGAAGTTTTCTTGAATGACTTCATGAAATGTTTGTTCCAGTGTGGCTTCTGTTTCTCTCTCTGCCTCAGGAAGCCCAATTACTCTTAGGTTTGGTCTCTTGAAGTGATCATTCATCTCTTGCAGGTTTTGTTCTGCCTTTTTGAGCTTCTTTTCTATGCTTTTGACAGTTTGGGTTAGTTCTGTGTTTTGGTCTTCGAGCTCTGAGATTCTTTCTTCTGCTTGGCTGATTCTGCTTTCCATGCTTATTAGTCTGTTATTCATTTCCATCACAGTATTCTTTACTGCTGTCATTTCTGACATCAGCTCCTTCCTATTTTCCTATTGTCTCTCCTCAGTTTTTAAAATTCTCTCCATTAATGTCTTGATGTCTGGGTTTGTTGCATGTAACCAGTCATTCTGGGGGCTCTTCATTGTTTGTGTTCCAGAATCTGTTTTCTCAGTGTCTGATCTCCCAGGGGTGTGTGTGAAACCTATATTCTTCTTTTGGTTTTTCTTCATTTGTGCGGTTTTTCTCCCTCTCTACTTTTTCCTTCCCTCCACATCACTGTCTTCTTTAATTCTGTTATTTGAGGGTAAAGGGATTGGTTTTACTTCTGTTTATTCAATCTCCTATTCTTTATGTATGCCCTCTTACTTTGTTCAATTCTGGAGTTGCACTGTAGGTTGGGGGTGGTCATTTTTGCAGTTTTGAAATTTACTTAAGGGGGGAGCTGTGATTCAAAATCTATCTGCAGGTCCTGGTATTCGCTGACAGGTGTGTGAATAATCTGGAACTCACTTCCCACTGCCTTGGAATCTGTCCATGCAGTGGGGCTGTAGGTTTACTCCCTGAAATAAAATGTGGTTAGCAGAGGGGAGAGAATGGAGCAGACAGTGGGTTGAAGAGGGGGGTGGAGAGATAGAGGAGTAAGGGGGGAAACAAACGAGTGTGCCAACAAATAGAGAGAGAGGCCTATACTGCAACAGATAAAAACAATAGACCAGAGCTACAGACGAACCAACTCTCATACAATCAAAAATAGAACATGTAGTGATGCTAACATATCAGCTATCCAACCACCTTATTAGTGTGCTGTTCCTCTATACAAAGATATGGTTTACAGAGAGAAGAAAAGAGAAGAAAAGGAAGAGGAAAAAAGAAAAAAAGGAACAATACAGTAGGAATACAATTAAGTCATTAAACTAACAGAATCAATGAAGCACACTCTGAGACATTTCGTTTAAGTTCAATGTCCTTTCAGGTCTGATTTCTAGTTTTCTTTTCAAGCTAGTAAATTAGTTTGCAGTTAGGGTCAGTTGCCCCTGGTCTGCTGTGAAGGACAGTTCACATCACCCTCTGTTCACCACTCCGGCCTATGTCTTTATCAAGCTTGTTTCTCCTGTTTTGGTGTTGTTACCTTGCATCGTCAGCAGGTGGTGCTATCTCAGCTGCTCGCCCCAGAGGGGGTGGGGCCGGACAGGGACAGCAGAGGCTGAAGATGGCAAGATGGCTGCCTGCCTCAGGGCAGACGGCAGGAGACTTACGCTGGGCAGGACGTCTCCGTCGCAGGAGAGGTAGCAGCGATCCCAGCAGATCTTCCCTGAAGGGGCTTCAAGGACTGAAGTTGTGAATCGCCTCCGGCCCGGGTGGTGTGATGTGCTACCGGCGGCAGTGGCGGTGGCTGCGGCGGTGGCGTCTGCGCTGCAGTGGCTGTCCAGACTGCTGCGATGCCCCAGCAGTGGCAACGGCCGAGCTCCGTATGAAGAGCAGGCTGTGATGTTGGGGTCCATAGCCCCAGGGGCGAGAGTCAGAGACCCAGTGCAGTTCTCCTTTGCAGAGGTTTTCACAGATCGGGTTGCCCCATCGCTATCTTGCCAGAAGTCCTCAAGAAGTTTGACTTTAAAAAAATGTCAAGATCACAGGAGAAGCAGTTCTGCCAATCAAGAGGCAACAGATGAGTTCCCTGATGTCATTAAGAAAATCACTGGGGAGAAAAGGTATCTGCCCAAACAATTTTTTGTTTGGTTGTTGTTGTTGTTGTTGTTTTGAGTCAGAGTCTCACTCTGTCGCTTAGGCTAGAGTGCAGTGGCATGCTCACAACCACTGCAGCCTCGACCTGCTGGACTCAGGTGATCCTTCCGCCTCAGCCTGGAAAGATTACACCATTGATGATGCCATTAATGTTATAGAAAAGGCCATGAAAGCCATCAAACAACAAATTCCTGCTGGAGAAGACTGTCCAGATGTTGTGCGTATCTTCACAGGATTTACAACAGAGCCATTCAAGGAAATCAAGAAAGAGATTGTGGACATGGCAAAAAAAAAACAAAAGATGGTAGTGGTGATGAAAGGTTTCAAGATATGGATCTTGGAGAAATTGAAGAGGTGATAGACACCATGCCAGAGGAATTACAAAAGACAATTTGATGGAGACTGAGTGCTTCTGAACCAGTTCCAGATGACGAGGCAGTGCCAGGAAACAAACTGACATTAGATAGTCTGTCAGAAGGGTTCTGATCACTCAAGATTGCTTTGGCTTCTGTTACAACATGGACCCTTCTATGATATGGACACTGAAGCTGAAGCAAACAGTGGCAGAAGGATAGATACTATGTAGAAATATTTTTAGAGAAATGAAAAAGCAAAAAGTCAGAAATCACAATGTATTCCTGTAAAGTTACACCAACAAATAAGACTACCTCTCCTGCCTCCTCTTCTATCTCCCCCACCTCTTCTTGAGACAAGACCAACTCTTCCTTTTTCCTCCTCCTCTTCAGCCTACTAAATGTGAAGATGATGAGGTTGAAGACCTTTATGATGCTTTACTTCCACCCAATGAGTAGTAAATACAGTCTGTTTTCCTTAATGTTTTTCTTGACATTTTCTTTTCTCTTGCTGACTTTGTTGTGAGAATGCAGTATATACATATAACAAACAAAATATATGCTAATTGACTGTTTATGTTATCAGTAAGCCTTCTGGTCAGTAGTAGTAGATAAGTTTTTTGGGAGTCAAAAGTTATACATTAAGGTTGACTGTGCAGGGAATTGACACCCATAACCCCATTGCTGTTCAAGGGTCAGCTGTATATTGTTATAGTTATATTGATCTTTTAATTAATACACACATATTAATTAACCTTTGTATGGTTTTCAATTTTTCACTTTTACAAACAATGCTGCAGAACATCTGTAGAAATAATTATTTGCATTTTTTTAGTATCTCATGGGAAAAATTTCTAGATATGGACTTTCTGGGTCAAGGATCTGTATTTTTAAATAATTGATTAATTCATTTTTTAATTGAAAGTTATTACCATTTTTATAAGCTAGAATATGCATATTTAAAAATCTTTAATTTTATTACAACAATAGTACTTACCAAAAAATGTAAAATATGGAAGTACATAAAGTACAAAATTGAAAGTTCCCTCTGCCCTAGTTTGGTGTGCATTCCTGACATATACACTTAACATTGCTAAATAAATTATCAAATTGCTCTGTAGAAGGTTGTGCCAGCTGGGTGCTGTGTCTCACACCTGTAATCCCAGCACTTTGGGAAGCTAGGTGGGAAGAACACTTGAGCTTAGGAGTTCAAGACCCACTTGGGCCACATAATGAGACCTTGTCTCTAAAAAAAAATAATAATAATAAAATTTAAAAATAGCTGAGCATGGTGGGTGGTGTGCACTTATAGACCCAGCTACTCAGGGGGCTAAGGCAGAGGATCACTTCAACCCAGGAGTTGAAGGCTGCAGTGAGCCATTATCATGCCACTGCATTCCAGCGTGGGTGACAGAGTGACACCCCCAACTCAAAAAGAAAAAAGAAAAAAAGTTTGTTCCTGTTTATCACCAATATATGAATATATGAAAATTATCCACTTTCTTCCCATCGTAGGATATTATCACTCCTTTAAATATTTTCAAATCTATTATACAACATTTTGATATTGTATTTTAAATTTGCATTTGTTTAATTATTAGTGAGATTGGATATTGTTTCTATTGTTTAATGGTTTTTTTGGTAGTGTTTCTATTCATCGCCTGTTTTTTCTTTTTCTTATTTGCTACTGAGTTATCTTTTTCCTACTAATTTGTTGACATGTGAGGTTTTGTTTCTGTCATATTGTTGATTGTTTTCTTTTTTTTATAATAAATATTTTTTATTATGATATTGTGGGGTACAGTTAAGGGTTAGGTATACAAATATGCTTCGTTCAGGCACCCCTGTTGATAAGAGGTGTCTCCCCGTCCCCAGAGATATTTACTACCATTAATCCCATCTCCCTTCCCCTCCCCACCATAGTTTCCCACCACTGTCAGTCATTTCCTTATGGTAATATGTTGGATGATCAAGGTCCACTATATGAGTGAGAACATGTGATACTCAGATCTTTGTTTCTGTGAGAGGTCACTCAGTATTATAGACTCTAGTTCCATCCAGGTTACTGTGAAATTCATGATTTTGTTCTTTTTAGTATTCCATCATGTATATGTACCACATTTTTTTAATCCAGTCCTCTTTTGATGGACAGCATGGTTGCTTCCAGGTTCTTGCTATTGTGAACAATGCTGCGATAAACATACGTGTGCAGGTATCTTTTTGTTAGAGTGCTTTGAGTTCTTCGGGGTATATTCCCAGTAGGGGGATTGCGGAGTCACATGGGAGGTTGATGTTTAGAGCTTTTAGGAATCGCCGCACTGCTTTCCACAGAGCTTGCACTAGTTTACACTCCCACCAACAGTGTAGAAGAATTCCCTTTTCACCACACCCTCTCCAGCAACTGTTATTTTTTGAGTTATTGATAATGGCTATTCTGACTGGAGTTAGGTGGTATCTCAGTGGTTTTGATTTGCATCTCCCTGATGATTAGTGAGGTTGAGCATTTCTTCATGTGTCTGTTGGCACGCTCGGATGTCTTCCTTTGAGAAGTGTCTGTTCATATCTTTTGTTCATTTTATAATGGGGTTGTTTTTTTCTTTTCAGCACTTTTGAGTTCCTTGTAGATCCAAGATGTTAAGCCTTTGTCAGACCTGGAGTTGGCAAATGCTTTTTCCCTGTCTGTAGGCTGTCTCCCTGCTTTCTTGATGGTTTCTTTGGCTTTGCAGAAACTTGTTAGATTAATGAGGTCCCACTTGTCTATGTTATCTCTTATGGCCTGTGGGTTTTGGGTTTTGTTCAGGAATTGGATGCCAGTTCCAATTTCCATGAAGGTATGTCCTTCATTTTCTAAGGTTCTTATGACTTGAGGTTTTATATTTAGGTCTGTGATCCATTTAGAGTTAATTTTTGTGTATGGGGATAGATAGGCGTCCTTTTCAATCTTCTGCATGTAGTCAGCCAGTTTTCCCAGCACTATTTACTGAATAGGTTCTCCTCTCCCCAGTGGTAGGTGGTGGAAGCTCTGTTGAAGGTGAGTTGGTTGAGAAATTGAGGTTTTGCTTCTGGAATCTCTATTCTATTCCATTGGTCTATATGCCTGTTCCTATACCCAATACCAAGCTGTTTTGATGATTGTAGCTTTATAGCAAAGTTTGAAGTCTGGTAATGTGATACCACCTGCTTTGGTTTTTTTTGCTGAGGATTGTTCTGGCTATTCTTGGTCGTTTGTGTTTCCATATGAATTCCTATGTTGTTTTTCTAGGTCTGAGAAGAATGTTGCAGGTAATTTGATGGGTATTGCATTAAATCTGTAGATTGCCTTAGGTAGGATGGACATCTTCACAATGTTGATTCTTCCAATTCATGAGCATGGGATATTTTTCCACTTGTTTGTGTTATCTTTGATTTCTTTGAGGAGTGTTTTGTAGTTTTCATTGTAAAGGTCTTTCACATCTCTGGCTAGGAAGATGCCAAGGTATTTCATTTTTTTGTGGCTATTGTGAATGGAATTGTGCCTTCTATTTGGGTTTCTGTTTGTTTATTATTGGTGTAAAGAAATGTGATTGTCTTTTGTCATTTATTTTATATCCTGAGACTTTGCCAAAGTCCTTTATCAGTGTAAGGAGGTTTTTGACAGATTCTCTTGGGTTTTCAAGGTACACAATCATGTAATCTACAAAGAGAGATAACTTAACTTCCTCTTTTCCTATTTGGAAACCCCTGATTGCCTTCTCTTCTCTGATTGCTCTAGCCAGGACTTCCAATGCTATATTGAACAGGAGGGATGAGAGTGGGCATCCTTGTCTTGTTCCAGTTTTCAGAGGAAATGGTTCCAATTTTCGTCCATTTAGGAGTATGCTGGCTGTGGGTTTCTCGTAGATGGCTTTTACTATTTTGCGGTATGTTCCCCATATGCCTAGATGTTTGAGGGTTTTTAATCAAGAAAGGGTGCTGTATTTTATCAAAAGCTTTTTCTGCATCTAATGATATGATCATGTGGTTTTTGTTTTGACATCTGTTGATGTATTTAATTACATTTACGGTTTTACGAATGTTGAACTAGCCTTGCATCCCAGAGATGAAGCCTACTTGATCATGATGGATGATTTTTGAGATGTGTTGTTGAATCTGGTTTGCTAGGATCTTGTTGAGAATTTTAGCATCTATGTTCATCAAAGATATTGGCCTGTAGTTCTCTTTCTTTGTTGGTCTTTACCTGGCTTGGGTATCAATGTGATGTTAGCTT